ATAGAAGATGGACAGAGGAGAAGATAGGTGGAGAGGAGACAGACAGGTCAAAGAGGCGGGGATGGAGCCAGTAAAGGTGAGTGATTCTGCTTCCCAAACATGATCTGCTGTATCTTCTGGAATTCGCCATCAAGTTAAATTTATGCCGTTGAAAATGTCACCAGATATGAATACCAAATCATTTTGCAAAATTGGAGAACAGCATATAATTAAGGCAGAATTTAAATCGTTCTATCATGGTTCATCAAAGGACTTGATGTCATGTTTGGTGAAACAGTTCTGGACACCACACCTTATGAAGCTTATGATGACCTTGAAGGAAATACATTATAAATGGACAAGAATTTTGTTTGTTATTATTCATTCATGGGATGAATCCTTAATTGCACAGAGGGCAGTTAAGAATCAACCACATTATTGTGGATCTGGAGTCACATGTAGGCAAGACCAGGTAAGGATTGCAGTTTCTTTATCAAAGTGTTATTAGTGAACCACATGGATTTTTCTGACAATAGACACATAGTCATCCTCAGACTCTTAATTCCAGATTTTTATAGATTCCACCTTCGGCCATGGGGGATTCAAACCTGAAACCCAGAACATTTCCTGAGTCTCTCATTTCCTAAGCCATCACCTGCCCTTGAGAATTAAATAACAATGAGTGATTACACACTCTAGGGCCATGCTTCATGAAATTTTGAATGTTAAGTGTGATTTGATTTACATTTTTTATAGATATTAAGGGAACAGACAGAGAAAATATTTCCACTTGTTGGAAAGTCTAAAGTTAGATGATAGGGTCTAAAGGTTAGACTTTCAGAAGTGAAACCTGTTAACACTTCTATATAAAGGATGGTGGAAGTTTGGAACCCTCTTTTAAAACCTCAATTATTGCTATGCATATTGTTAATTTTAAATTCTTGTTAGCCAAAGTTATGAATGGATAAGGGGCAACAAGTGTATATTGAATATATGGATCAAACATAATTTCATTGAATGTTGGACACGACTTTGGAAGCTAAATAGTTTCCTCCTGTTCATAGTTTTGAATGTTCCTAAATCATACCTGTCTATTATAAGACTGTATTTCCTCCATTTTCTAGCTTGCTATGAGCAATGCAAAGGGAGATTAACTAATTATTCACGAGCAGTCTTACACCTATTTGTCACATTCTGGATGTCTTACTTTTATAGAGAGGCAAATACATTTTTTAAAAAATGGTAGAAAATCATTTATTAACCAGAGCTTGGAATTTACAAGTTACTCATTCTCAGTATTTACAGACAATTACCATTGATTTGGATTTCTATGGGCAACAGTCTGAAATTGTTGGGAATTACACCATTAGAATGACACATCAATGTCTCATCCTGCTATTTATTCATAAAGTATGCTGCAGTTCTGGAGTGAATAAGGTTTGCCAAGAGTTCTGATTGTCTGCAAATTGCTGACCTATTTGTGCTGCTCCATCGCAAGCCTTAATAAAGCTGGTAGAAATCTTTTCTCATCATGGAGTACCCTACTGAACTTGGCAACAATCATCAAATTGCTCAAATTACAATGATACTCCTTCTGTAGCCATTTAAATCAGTCATTAATGTTATAGAAGATACTGGTAATGACACAATGTATGGTCCAAACATGAGACTCAAACTTTGAGGCCCACAAAAAAGCCAATGAAACAATGAAAGTGTCTTCCTCTGACATGACTTAAATCATTGCTGGACGGTTTTGTTTTAGACTTTCTAACTGACCTTGATGGTCCTTTTCTTGCCAATCTTGCAATACCTACAAGTGTCAATAGTTTTCAAGAAGCATGATTGCTTTGACCTTGGAAGAGAATAACTCATTGACATGCAAATCAAATAATACAATTTTAGGATACAGTATATACATCACTGGAGACATGATATGTGGTAAATATTGTATTACTGGTAAGGTTCTCTGAGGAAATCTTTGACAGCCTTCTTTCCACATTCTTTTGTGAGCTGGGACTCTCTCACTCCCCTTCATGAGGTGTAACCTTTGTGTCATCATTGACAAGAACATGGGGGATTAAGCAAACAAAGGACCAACTCTTGTCGTGGACCACTTCTAAGCTGGCGTCTCATTGACCATGTATTTTGATCCCTTACTAGTTGCATAATCAAAATGGATGAATTGCTACCTTGTTGACTCACACCAACTTTTTCAGATAAAGAAGGGATGCATGGTATCTATACAAATCTGAGTTTAAATATCAATTCTTAAATGTAACGATAGCAAAATAATAACTGAACCGCATGGTGCTAGAGTGAAAACAGAGGCAGTCAATCACTGATCTGTTTCTAATCTGTTGCCATCTTTCCCAGGTCAAATAAGGGGTCTTGGATGGTCCTGGTGCCTGCTTAAATCAGACAGCAGCCTCAAAATGTCAGAGCAGTTTAGAGGTTCCTGATGGCTGGTTAATAGCCTTGCATGGGAAGCTTCCCTGGGAATGCTCCTTTGTTAGATTGTTCAGGCCCAGGTTTGAAAAATGGCTGGAGCAGAAAAGATGTGGGAGTATTTCCTTTGCGAGCCACAACAGCAGCATGAGCCAGAGGTATCCCCTCATCATGATCATAAATCTTCCTTACCCTCAACATATTTTTGATGAAGTCAGGTTGTTCTCTGGGTTGTCAGAAGCCAATGAGAAACATACTAACTGTTACTGAGGACCAGCTCTTGGAATGGATTGGTCATTGTGTTCTTACCCTGTTATAATGAGCCTAATGCACTGTGCCAACTAGTTTCTTAGAAGTTAAGATTCACTTTCAGGTGAAGGTGGTGCTTTCTTCATGCGCAAAGCTATCTTGCAAATCCAAATAGGCCAAAAAATTTAAGTCAAAGTGCTCCATCTAACAGGAATTATTTCTGATGGCTGACAGAAGATATTTCTCATTATAACCCTGAATTTAACCCTGACTGATCTACTTTTCTTCTGCATTGACTTCAAAACAGCAAAGAGGGTTTAACATAGATATCAGTCCCAAACATTTCAATTTGAATCAGGTTAAAATTCGGCTTTCTGACTGGGCATTAAAGAAAGAGCAAATAAGTAGACCAAAGTTGAGCAGTTTGTGAGTTTTGGATATAACTGAAGATATCTGCTTTGATCAAGCAATATTGAGTTCCTCTACCTGCACATGTTACTCCTTCAGTTACCATCCCTGGAATCTATTGCAGAATGCGTCGACTTTGAAAATATACCCTCTGGATAGTAGTTTAGGCATTATTTAATCAACAATCCATAGAATCTCGACAGCGTGGAAACAGGCCCTTTGGCCCAACAAGTTCACACTGACCCTCAGAGCATCCCACCCAGACCCCATCCCCCTATAACCCACCTAATCTACGCATCCCTGAACACTACAGGCAATTTAGCATGGCCAATCCACCCAGCCTGCACATCTATGGGCTGTGGGAGGAAACCGCAGCACCCAGAGGAAACCCATGCAGGCATGGGGAGAATGTGCAAACTTCACACAGACAGTCGCCTGAGGGTGGAATTGAGCCCAAGCCCCTAGCGCAGTAAGGCAGCAGTGCTAATCACCGAGCCATAACAATGTGAAGCAACAATTGGCACATTTTTCTTAACCAGGACTTGGCATCAACATGATGCCTTATTACAAACAATTCATGCCCAAAGGCCTTGGCACATAAAGCCCTGATAGTGTCAACAAGAAAAAAATACTTGTCAATTAATGACTCGGATGAAGGGAAGAAACACAACTGATTTAACAGGACAATGTACTGTAAGAAAGGAAGAGATGGTTTGGTGCAATGTGTAAAGTGGACAGAGAAGTCAGATAATAACATTAAAAAAATTCATAGATTTATACACCCTCTTGTGAAATAACAAGTGATAAGTGGAGAAGTAAAACTGAGTCAATTTAGCGAGTACAAGACCTATTTCAGCTTTAATAGTTCTGTTACCTTCATGACCTTTATTTGCATTTCAAGCATACTTCAGGTTTCAAAAGAAATATCCTCTGTGACCACTTCAGTTCACCAGTTAGAGTCACTTTTAGTTAAAATGGCATTAACATCCAGGCTATCATATTTCAAAGACAAAACAAAATCAGAGTCTGGACCGGATGAAATTGCTTGGATTTGAATTTGAATCACTTGCTTTCTCTTTGAACTCAGCTTTTCATCCTTTCTGGCATAAACCACCACCAAAAGAAAAGGGAACTGCAATTCATGAGGAGGTTAAAATGTCATCTGCCAATTTCTATTTGGTTGAGCTTTCAGTTGACCGCTAAAGAAGTGTGAATAAATGATTTATAACAACATTCACTGCTTGCAGGTTTTGTAATAAACCTGCCTTTATGTTCTAACACACAATAAAAAGCCATAAAATTATTCATATTTATTTGGAAAATTTTAAATCTTCAAAAGTCCAGTCATCAATAATTATGATGAATCACAGTTTACAATGCAGAACCATGTATGTCTGCATTTCCCAGAGTATTTTCATGATAGTACAGAAGATAATGCAAGCGAAATACTTAAGACTTATGCTTATAACATTACATCTTCAACAGTGTGGAATAATTTTAAAATTGATAGAAATTGCTCAGTTTGATGCCCATGCAATAGAATATGTTCCTATATCAATTTGACAAAACAAGCGAACAATCAGCAACATGAAGACATTTTTTAAATATCATGGACTATGAATATTTAACAGATTGAGCAATGATCAAGCACACTGATATTTCGATGCTTCGCATTCTCCTTCAGTCTATTCACTACAAGCCGCAGCCCAACGTCAAATGCAAATTGCCCAGCAGTGTCAAAGCAATTTTCTCATGATTTAGGAGCCTCTTGATTCACAGTTGAAGCCTTCATATGGGTTCCAGTGATCCAGCACCGAAACTGGAATCTACTTGTTTCATACAGGCTATAGCATTGGTTATGTAATTTATAAGACCACTTTCTAAAAAAAATGAATACATGAAAAAGTTATGCACCACACCTTATTCCTTCTTGATATGATAAATGTTTCACGGAATTCAGGAGGAACTGCTGCCATCTCAGGTTGCAGGGTAGGTCTGAATCACATTGTTTATGCTTTTGCGGTATGGGAAAGAGGAAGTTAAATGTCAAGTTGTTTTTCTCCTCTGTAATGTCTGACTTGCCCAACAGAAAGCGCAAGACTTTTTTTTAATTGTTTACAGTCAGCAATTCAGCATGTTTAGCAATCTTGTTTAGAATTTGTAAAGCTAGTACTAACTTATTTGGGGTATAATAACAGTACTATTATCAGACACAGTGCAATAAGAAATATCTGTTTTTGCAATATATTGCATGCATATATAAAAAAATTACATAAAACATTCCATCGTACCCACAGTGCTGCAAAACAGCTACCTTCCACTTCAAAAGTCTGCTTTATTTAGACTGCAGTTATCTCTACCAAATTGAGTAATTGACAGCAACAGCAAGGATGCATACAAGGGGAAGCTAGATAAATAGAAAGGAAAAAGATATATAAAGTTATGCTGATAAATTTGGATGAAGTAGAGAAGGTGAAGGCTTGTACAGAGCAGAAATGTCAGCATAAGCCATTTGGCCTGTTTCTGTTTCTGGAAAAAACCTAAATTTGAAACCAATCCTCACCATTGGGCTACAAAACTCTACCCAAAATTCAGTACTGGCTATACGAAAATGTCCCATCATGAAACCACTGGACAACATAAACTGCTGTCATTTGACCAACTGTCATTAATTTAGTTTGCTGCCTATCTGCATTTCACCCTGTCATCTGTGTGACATTATACTACCCCACTCCAAACAGACAATGTCAGTACACACTATCATTCTACAGTCTGCTCCTGCACAACGTCGCTTTCCATTTTGCAAGCAAAAGGTGAGTGAATGTTAGAAATCTACAGAAGCAGAAGGTATGTGCCTCTTTTAGATCAGAGGTCATCTGGTTTCAATTACCTGAGGGGACTGGAAAGAAACTTCATGGAGTTTTTCTTTACCTCATTTGTTTTTTTTTGCATCTCCCAGGAGATTACATGGCTGAGGGCGGGGATGGGGGAGGGAGACGTAGGGAAGGAATGTTTATCTGTGTGCTAGTTCAGCCAATGTGAGGTCAGCTTGATGTGTCAGCTGGTCTTTTCCTACTTATCATTTTCATGTACAACCTTCAGAACAGGAGGAAACCATTTAGTCTCTCAACCTGTTCTGCCTTTGAATGACAGCCATGACTGATCTGCAACCTAAAGGCACACCACTTTGCTTTATATCTCCAAAGATCTTTTTTTAAATTCAGTCATGGGACATGGGCATCACTGTCTGGCCAGCATTTATCACCCGAATCTAGTTGTCCTTGAGAAGGTGGTGGTGAGCTTGACCTTCTTGAACTGCTACAGTCCGCATGCTGTAGATTGACCCACAATGCCCTTAGGGTGGAAATTCTAGGATTTTGATCCGTCAGCGAAGGAATGATGATACATTTCCAAGTCAGGATGATGAGTGACTTGGAGGGGAATTTGCAGATGGCAGCATTTCCATGCATATGCCACCCTTGTCCTTCTCGATGAAAGCAGTTGTGGGTTTGGAAGATGTTGTCTAAAGATATTTGGTGAATTTCTGCAGTGCACCTTGTGGATAGTACACACTGCTGCTACTGAGCATCGGTGATAGAGGGAGTGAATGCTTGTAGATGTGTTGTCAATTAAGTGGGCTGCTTTGTCCTGGATGATATCAAGCATCTTGAATGTTGTTGGAGCTGCACTCATCCAGGAAAGTGGGGACCATTTGTTTAACAAAAATCTACCTCCATTTGTAAGTAACAATTGATCTAGCGTCAGCTGTTGTTTGCGGAAGAAAGTTATAAACTTCTGCTTCCCTTTTATCTTTCAAAGTGTTTCCTCATTTTGTTCCTGAGTGCTCTGGTTCTATTTTAGATTATTGTATTTAGTGCTGGACTCCCCCATGCACAGAATATTTTTCTCTATTTAACCTATCTATTCTCCCTAAAATCCCGACAAATTACCTCAGCCTTCTAAATTTCACAGAATACAATCCAATTTTGTGCATAGCTCAACCCTTGGAGTTCAGTTATCATTTTAGAATATCAACACTGCAGTATCTCCATGTTCAATGTAGGCTTGGTAAGGTACGATGCCCAGAGCTACTAATAGTACTCATGTGTGGTCAAGGCAGGTCTCTGTATAATTGACACATGGCTTCTAGCCTCTAGAGTTCAAGTACTGTAAATATAAATGACAGCAATCTATTATAATTTTTGATTTTTTCTGTACTTACGACACTGTATGGAACTGTGTGCCTGAACTGAAAATCTATTTAGGCCTTCACTGTGTCCTGCTTTTCATCGTTGAGGAATCACCATTTTTTTTAAAAAAATCTACAATTTAAAACAAATTGTGAAGCATTTTTGACAAGAAACAAAGTACTCAACAAGGATCAAGGGTGGCATGGTGACTCAGTGGTTGGCACTGCTGCCTCGTAGTACCAGGGACTTAGGTTCAATTCCACCTTTGGGCAACTGTCTGTGTGGACTTTGCACATTTGCCCTGTGTCTGCATGGGTTTCTGCTCGGTGCTCTGGTTTCTTCCCACAGTCCAAAATTGTGCAGGCTAGGTTGATGGGCCATGATAAATTGCCCATAGTATTCAGGGATGTGTAGATTAGGTGTGTTAGCCATGGGAAATGCAGGGTTATAGGGAAAAGGTAGTGGGATGGGTCTGGGTGGGATGCTCTTTGGAGGGTTGGTGTGGACCTGTTGGGCTGAAGGGCCTGTTTCCACACTACAAGGATTCTATGATATGCGTTTGTGTTATATCATTGCATCCATATCTTAATTGAGGGAAACATATGCATGTCCCCAGTTGCTGTTAAGCATTGCTATTAATGCACAACTTGTTAAATCAGATATAAGACATTTCTTACTTATCCTCAAATAGTATCTTTGCATTGATTTAATGAAGATGAATCTCCATTAGTTTATGTCAACATGGTCCAAGTTTAACTTATTTTGTGAAAAGCTGTTTGCATGCTTAAAAACTGAGAGGAAAAGTTTGCTCATGAAATTGTTCAGTATGGATAACTCTACATTTTACTCATAGTTTGGAAGAACGGAATCACATTTTCTCCTTCCCTGAGTTGTAACTATGGGAAGGTGAAGTAAAGATGTATGCTGAGGTGGGACTCCAGTCAGGCTGCTCCATGTGTTCTGGATTGCAGCTCATCATAGGAGAGCTGCAAACTGCCTGTTTGAGGCCCTGTACAATTGCACTGAATTCATAATCCTAATGTGGCCCTCGCTGAAAGTATTAATAATTTTCTCACAGGAGAAAATCACTTCCAACCTAGTGTGTCTGAGGCAAAATGTCACCATTTACATTGTCAGTGAGAAGAATAAGTTCTGGCCAATTGCTTTACGTCTTCTTTACAACTATTGTATTCTTCTTTATCATCATCATCCTCTACTGTACCTTCACATTGCTGTGATCAGATCTACAGCAAAGAAGAACTTGGGCCAGTGAAGGTGAGCAAGGCATCTTGGTGATTAAGGATACAAATTTGAATTGAATTGAATGTCACGTGTACTTACATAAGTACAGTGAGAAGTTTCCAAGTTGCCACTTACAGCACCATCTTAGGTACAAAGATACCTAGGTATGTACAAAGAAAGGTGTAGAAGATTCTAGCTCTCTGATGTTGTGCAGGGATGCCATTGTAACTGTGAGAGTGTGTGTACTCAGTAACCTTTCACTTGTACTGTCTCAATGATCTCGCCACCTCCTACAGGTAGGCAAATGGTCTCCCCAGCAGTCATGCCATGTCCCCTATAGAAAGTCAGATCTTCTGTCTTTAGGAAAGCTCATTTGGTCCTGTACCATTCATGTTCAAATTTTGCTGTAGCTATGATTGAGAGACATTCGATAAGACAATGCATGTTTGGGGCATCTCACAAGTGACCTCAAACAATTTGTAAACTCCTTAACCATGCAATATTCTGAAGATTAGTTGCATCTTTACACATTTTGAAGGGTGAACTGTACATTGATGTTCACAGTACCTACAGAAAATATGGAATATTCTGTTCGCTTGTCTTCCTCTGCCAAGTTATTGAATATTTTCTGGTACTAAGTAACATCAGCAGTTCCCTCCATAAGGAGACAATTCACTTTCCTGATCTTTCTTTGGGCATCTAGCAGTGTCCCTCCTTTGTTGCATTTATCCTAAGAAAACAATAACTTAGTCTTACTGAAATGACATGGACATTTTTACTATTTACTATGCAATTCCTCTTTCCTTTTTTTTGGCAAGTTCATGCAAGCATCGCCCATTGGAGCTGGTAGAGTGCTATCCCATTCTTGCAAAAATGATCTGCTTCTCCTTGAAACTGCAGCTGAATTCTTTCTAAGTCAATCTAAGCTCTTTGAAGGCAATTCTTCAATCCTTCAATTTACATTCCCTCACCCCAATGAAGCACATTCATGTCAATTTGGGGTTGAATCAGATAAACTGAATGACAATGGAAATGCAATGATCCCATGAGCCAAAGTGAGGTCAGTGTAGCTTGTGAGCGCCAGTTGGTGGTCTTGATGCCAGGATGTGACACCAGTGTACATGATTCTATGGAGTTGTGCATCTTCTATGAGGGCAGTGTAGTCTTAACACTGAATCTTCAAAGACACAGTTTATTTTTATTTTTATTCCTACTTCAGACTATATTTTGCAGAAAATACATCTACATAATACATCCATATACATAATCTATAATCTGTATACATAATACTGATCATTTTACAATGACAATCCACTTTGAATTCCCCAGTGAAAATATTAGACTATTCTCCATGTTCCACATAACAAACTCAAGACCCTAGTCATCCCCTTATCAACACATTGTCATGGGACTGGCAATGATTGAATTTGATTACAAGTTATGATGAATGCTTGAAGTAAAAGTCCAAAAGGCATTTTTCACTTTTAAAATGGAGTTGCAACCAACAAGGAGAGGTTGTAGAGCCATAGAGGCATACAGCACAGAAGCAGCCCCTTCGGCCCAACTCATCCATGCTGACCAGGTTACCTAAATTGGACTAGTCCCATTTGCCTACATTTG